AACAAGTCACAGATTGTTTGCTCTCAGTATACAAGCCCTCAATAAAGGAGTCCTCATACTACCTTGTGTAGTACCCTTGACACACAACTCTCTGCTCCCACACCACGAACTAGTATCTAACATTTCAGACCTTTTATATTGATATATGTGCATCAGAAAAATTACAGACTTGAGAGAGGGATGTTAAAGTGATTGGTAAGATGAAGAAAGGGAAGTGCAAAAATGGTCCTCTTCTCAGTCTGCCTTTTCCTTTGAATACTGTTGCTATTGATAAGGGTAAGTTGAAATCAGAACATTGAAGGAGTGTAGGAAGGAAAAAAAAAAGGATGGTGGGAAAGGGGGGATTGTCACAACTGTGTAGTGTTTATTAAACGTAAGAAAGTGGTCAGTTCTCTCTTGCTTTTAGCTCAGGGAAAAAAAAAAAGTAATCCCAATATCTACTTCTCCTGAAGTAGTAAATTATGAATTGGGCAGTGCAGCTGGAGAAGGGAAGTGGAAAAGTTGAAAAGAAGAGCCTCTTCCTGCAGCAGTGAGCTATCTGATGGCTCAGTCCTCCCCTGAAACCTCAACCTTAGGTAAACTAAAATCAATGGCAAAACCCTGTCCTGAAAAGAGCAATTCACAGCTATTGCTTCAGAGTCCAGTCATCCCTGCAACTGCCGTAACTCAATTAAGACCATGCCACCCAGAGGAATAGATTGCTTTGCATCTCTCAGATTTCTGCGAAGCTAAGGCTAATACCAGACAAGTTCACACTACAAATCTGATCCCAATCAGACATCCAGCTTCCACCAAATTCACTAGAATCCATGTGACTCTCTAGGCTGCAGAAGGAAAAGGTAGCACAGTAGAAACAGATTTACAGTATACAGCTTTTGCATAGATAAAGGAGGACTCCTTTTGTTTAAAACAAACAAACAAACAAACAAAGAAAACCAAAAATACCCCAATCACTGTGACAATATACCAGAGGAGCACCTTACATCACGCGGCTGTCACATTCTTCCTCCAGTACTAGACATCCCCAAACCTGATTTAGTCTACTCTATAATCACAGTGTCAGCTGCAGATAAAGCTAAAGACAAAGCAAACTGAAAGAACCTGTAAAAGCTCTCAGCCGATTATATGCACCAGTGGAGCCTACATTGGCTGAGTGTTCCAGCAAAACATAACAGGGACCGTAAGAACGAACACTGACCTCAATTACTCTAATACTACACCCTCCATGGAATAACACTTTCGAAACCACTATTCGGTACATTTCCTTGACCTGATCTTCAGAACCTCTCCCCATCTTCAAAACGTTGTACTGCATGGTGGCTGCATTAAGAAGGAGTCGCTAGTGCCGTAGGAGAAAAGGTGGCACATGGAATCTGTGCTTAAGCAAGAGGATGGTCTCACACAGCCCCACCTTCACCAGCTGTTTGTTCCCAGTCTTCACTCCTACTGACAATGCTTTTTTGTAGAGTACTGCTGTAAACCCACCCCACTGAAAAAAAAAAAACAAACAGGGGAAAGAGGATTTTCAGTGCATCTCAGGTAGGTTAGTTCCGCAACCCACTTGACTACACAATGCAGAAAAGGTGTCCCAGAACAGGAATGAGGTACCAGAAAAGCCCAAGAACTGAACTACCACCACCCACACAGCGTGAGCGATCTAAAAATAACTCACTTTAAATCAAGTCCTGCACAGCGTGTCAAAAAGGGTAGATGCTGCCATCTTGTCAGGAGTCTTCCAACGTGCGGGACGTTTAGTAGTTTGCTAACGCAGTTTTTATACTGTATACACACACGCACATTTTATACACACAAATATTTCAATAAAATGACAATATTTAATTCTTTCAGTTCTGGCATTTATGCTGGCAGTTTGAAACTGCCTACGGTGTTTCCCCCGCCTTTCACAGGTCCATGAAATACAGCTACCGCAGCGCTTTGCAGGTAGGCGGCAGAGTTACAGCGGTAGGAAGTTTCCACAAAGCAGTTTGATAATACTGCAGTTACACTATTAAAAAAAGCAACAAACACTCTGACAGTGCCATTTCAGTTATACGCTTTTAGACTTCCATCAGTTTGTTTAATCAACTGCAACCTTTTCTCCCTCAATCACAACCTAAAAATTTTTTTAGATCAACAACTTATGATACAACTACAATGCCGTTTAGAGGCAGATAGTTTACTTCTTCCAAAATCCCTCTACCAGGGATTACTTCAGCCAAAATCTAACGTTTAAATTTGTCTTCTATTGTAGAGAAACGCAAATTATTCGTCAACTGATCAAATAGAATGTGTTTCAGATTCAGTTATGTAAATCACATATTCAATGACAACTAAAAATTTGGTATTCACGTTCAAAAATATAGCTGCTCAAAGCAGATCTAAAGCGAATTCCAAACACAAAATTACAGTATCTATAAATAGCCTATGCTGAAATCCTAGAAGGTAACATTTCCCTGCTGCATCTGTGACTCAACCTCTGAGGTTACATCCGTGCTGCACATTTAGCAAGGTTTTGGCTGCCCATCTGCAAGCGAGACTTCAGCCTGGATTACAGATCCCACCCAACTAGGTGCCCAAAATCGTTCCTGGCCCAGAGAGAGGTCTGCCTCACCTGAGTGAGCTGTAATGTACACAGACGTACATTGCTACTAGACCAAGAGTTACCTTCCAACAGAGACCGGGGTTTATTCCTTTCTCACCCTCCGTTTCAGCTCAAAAATCAAACAGGATGTCTTAAAATATCAGTAGTTTAAGTGAACCTGTTTGACTTTATCCTGGACACCATGAAGGAAATACCTCACACAGCCAATATTGTTTCAGCTGGTAGGAAGCAAGTGCTAAATAAAAGATCGGTACAGCATCTGCTCATTTGAGATTCAAATTCCTAATCTGGTGACAAAAGCAGTAGACTAAGAAATTTGTGCAACAAGGCTTAGGGCTAGGTCACAACAGCAGAAATGAGTGTTCAGTTGCGCAGATCATTTTCTCTTCCAGAGGAAGAACCTGAACAACTCCAGAGAGAGGAGAGTGCAAGGCAAGCACAGCAGTGGCAGCCTTGATGAAGATGAGTATGGCTGCACACCTAAAGGATGAAAATAAACTGACTCTGAAGCCATACATTGAAATGGGAGTACTTCGCCAGTTTGCTTATCTCCACTCAGGAAAAGCAGACTGCTTTCCCACCAGCAGCTGCTTGAAAGTAATCCGATTTACAAACAAGCATGCCAAAACCAGCACTGCACTTACTCCACAGAAAAAAAAAACCACGAATTGTTAGCACTTAAACCCAAAAAGCTCCCATTCACAACTCCCCAAAGCACGCATTGAACAAAGTACAGCCTATGCCATTAAAATAGTTAAGAAATACAAACTGACTATTCATTCCATTCTGTTTGTGGATAAACTATGAACCTTAAAGAACACTTTCCTCCATATTAATAAATTTTAAAGTACTACTATCTAAAGGCTAACTGAAATCTAGACTCGTTTATCTAACAAAACAAAAAAATGAACTGAGAGCAGTATCTGTTTTTTAGGTGTGTATTATCAACCTAATGGAAATATTTTTTAAGGACAGTTATTAATGGCACATAATTTGGTAAACTTTCATCTGTACATCCTACTAAGTCTCACTAACTGTTGATGGATGTGAAAACGGAAGACACACTGGTATTTCCTTCAACACCTTTGTAGTTCTTTACCTGAGCAACAGAATACTTTTCCCCTAACAATAATAGCAATTGAAAAAACCCACTGTATTTTTCCAGAAAAATGGAATTTTTTATCAGGTCGAGTTGTTCTAGTGTAATTACTTTTTAAAGAATAAATGCTATTTCCTATGCCTAAGTTATCATGACAGACACATATCGCAATTTGTGGACAATTACAGAACGTGGATCCCATCTTGGATAAAGTGGGACAAAGGTTATGCTCTCTATGGATGAATGGTACTTCTACAGGCAACGTACTGCAGGACTGGTACTGTAATTATTTCCATCCTTGAAATGAGAAACATTTTAAAAACACAAGCTTTCAAGGCAACTAATTCTTGCATCTGTCATCACATGTTACTGCTGAGTAACATGCAACCAACTGTAGCTAATCAAATATAAATGGCATCTGTTATGCAATCATGCAGAATTTTACCCGGTGCCCACACTGTAAAGCATGATAGATGATTACCATTTTAAGAGGAATAAAAGGCAACTGAAAATACATATGGAAAAGTAAATTCTCATTTAATTTACCAAAACTTGGAAAAGGTCTTAAATAAAACTACTTTATTTCCAATCCGTGCATCTGCATTCTCTCACATTAATAATAAAAGAATCAGTTTTACTTTCGGTTATTTAGTTCCTACAATATTTCAGTTACAGACAGCAGTGAAATACTTCTTTGTTCCAACAGCTTTCTTTTTGTGGATTGAAGTCAGACTGACACTTTTGTCTTTTATTTACAGAAGTTTCATGAAGCTTTGATGTTGATTTCAGTGTATAATCTATTTAAGTTACATACTAAAAGCCCGTTTTTGTTAATTACCAGATGTTAAAAGCAACACAAATCAGTGCAACAAAAGTAATTTTACAGAAGAACTTAAAGGATATGGTGAGTTTATAAAATCCTTTGGTTAAATGTACTAAAAGACAAGTTACATTGACAAAGACCACAATACAAAACCCATTTAATTACTTTTAGGACTTCCTTTAGCATTTTCAGCATTCACAATATAAAAGATGAAGACACTCCTCCTTCAAGAAAACAGATAACCACAGATAGACACTTAGTCTATTCAAAGGCACTCAGCTGGCTTTTTGTATTTTTTTTTTAAGTTTGGCAGACATCAGGTTGGTGTTGCTTTCATCATTTGCTGGCCTAACAGTCTCTTCAAAAATTAATGCAACATAATAAATTATACTTGGTGGTCAAGCACAAAAATATCATGTACTTATTTGGAATATTTATTTTATAACTAAAATATTCATGATCTTACAAGACTGATTTTACCAGACTAGGCCTTTGGCCAATTTTGGTTTTTTTTTCCCTTTAACACGCTGTGCCTTAAGCTTCTTTTTCTGCCTGGAATTCATCCATATTGGGTACTGTCCATGCTGGTCTAGAAGAGTTTTTTTGTTTCGTTTATTATCTACGTCCATTTTGCAGTCATCTGAAAAAGAAAGGTATTTATAGTGAGTAAAATTCATGAATCGGCTTCCTAGAAGCTATTTTGTTACTAGATTCCCAAAAATGATAAAAATATCCCTAGACACAACAGTATTTGTACGTAGAAGGCTGAAGGCTTTATACACTGAAAGTCCTTTCCAAATCAATACAGCTGCAACCCAGGAACTTCAACAGCTGATAGCAGATATGCAGAATCTTCCCTAAAGGCCCATGCCTGGGCAAAGCACCTTATTCTTGAGTCTGCCATCTGTTACAATGCTGTGTCTAAAAACATTGTGTGTGGTCCCATCAAAAGCTGAAACCATACAGGAAGCCATAGGCTTACCAAAACATGTGCACAATTGAATACGTTTTATGATGTATTGTTTAAGGTCCGTTCTAAAAAATTCAGACTGAGTGGAAGATGAAAACAGGTAAAGAGAAGAATAAATAGAAAAGTTGAAATACAATGATGGTACAAAGCATGAGCCAGTGACACTGTATTTGCCTAAAACAGTGATCACGAGGTCAAGTTTAATATATTTAAAGACAGAAACAGAGGATTTATGTCTAGGATCAGGAAGACTGCCTACGACATGGTCACTTCCAAGAACGGAATCCCCAGCTAGCTAACACCACATGAACGTCATGTCTCGGTGAGATAAAAAGGCTATAAGGGGAACACCTTGGTGAGTACCGATTTGAACCATGCTCTACTATTAAATTTCAACCTTGTTTTGAAACCATCCGTGTGCAAGTCTAAAAGCTTTACCACAAGGTTTTACAGAGAGGAAAAAAGGCTTTTTTATGTTGTGCCTGTCTGATGTCGGGAGACAAAGTTCATGAGGAAAAGGCCAATATGCTGCTTCACTACTCGAAGCATGCTGATACTCCGCAAGGATCTGCACCACAGAGATGTGCTCAGGGAGCCCTAAAGTTGCGATATGAATACTTGCAGTCAGCAGAGAATCAGCACAGGCCTGCTGGCACAACCAAAGGCTGATTCAGCAAAGGACAGGCAGCAAAAAAGTCCCAGTTCCAGAGACCTCCTGAGACATCAGAGAAACACAACATAAAGCCTTCTTAACATAAAGCCAAATTCTTTCCCAAATGTTATAGAAGGAGAGATGGCATCCAACAACACCCAACACCTCAAGAAAACCAACTCTACATAAGCATCTTCTCTGATTCCTGTCCTATCATATGATTGAGGTTAATCTGTTACATGAATTTTGATTGCAAAAAAGCACATCCACAATAAACGTCAGCTACAACATTAACTAAAAGAAGAAACACTCCTGGACAAAAAATACCAGTTGTTCACATAGCACAACATTTTCATCATGCTTTGCAAGCTGAAGCATGCTGTAGGAATGAATAACGGGAAGAAATCTACTGAACAGAAGCGGTCCAAGGACATAAAGAAAACCTATCAAAGGGGTTAAAGACAAAGAGAAAAGGACTAAGGAAAAAAAAAGCTATAAAGTAGGTTATTGAAGCAGACTCAATGGATATGATTATCTTGAAAAATACGCGCATGCCCACAAAGTTTTAAAAACAGCTACAAAACTATTTTTACCACAGGCTAGCCAGACCTTCTGTTATTTATTTTTTCCTAACAACAAAAACTGAAAAATTATTTCACAGTGGGAAAAATACCTTCAGGTAACACAGGAAAAATCCCTAATACAGCTATATACTTTCTTAGGCTGAAAAGTTTTTCACCTGTCTACGGAAAACGTATTCTGGATGAAGCCTTCATCTACTTCAGTCCTTATTAACATCTGGCGACGTGAACTCCCTTATGTCCACGCACAGTTAGTGCTGAAGAGTCCTCTCAAAGAGGGCACCATTATTTTCACAAAATTTGCAGTTGTGCAATATACATATACTTAGGTATTTATATACACTTAGGCATTTCGGAGGCTACTATCTCTCTAGAAAGGGCAAGCAAAATTGGCCACTTCTAGAAAAGTTGCCGGCAGACTTGGAAGGGGGTCCAGGAATGACAGCCAGGTGTCTGCTTCAGAAACGAGGTTTAAGACAACAACGTCTCCTCCAGCTTCAGCATCAGAAGGCTGACAATAAAACATTTTGGAAATTCAATCCTAACAATCCCATAAAGAACAACTTCTACATCAGGTTGATAGGACAAATCAGAACCACAGATAAAATTACAAATTATACTTCAGGCAACTGGGCAAAAATGTTTACATAGCATTCCATTTCCATCTTCATTATAGTTTACAGACTCTGCTATTGCACCTTACAACACTTCCCTGTATTTCCTAACACCTGAGACACTGACAAAAGCAGCTGCATGAACAACAGTGATTACTAGCATTATTCTATACCCCCACTGTGGTGTCTCAAGAGACGGCTTCATGCCACACAAAAAGATCACATCATCAATATCGTAATAGCTTAAGTGGCACAAACTGGAGAAGAGAAAAGGACTACCGTTGAGTTTAGACTGCAGTTCTGGAAAGACAAGGTGTCTTTCTGACTCCTGTCCAATATGCAGCTTTTTAAAATCTTTTTTTCCACTTCCTGGGTTACTTGCTTTACAGATTACGTCCTATTCAAGGAATAGAGAGGAAGATGGCATTATCTGAAGACACCTAATGCCATCCACTCCCGCACCATGTGCAATGCAGTGTTAATCTGCATACAAAAACAGGGTCCCTACTAGCCCTACTCTGAAACAGTGCATTTAAAAATGAAAAAAAAAAATCACTCTATTCTTCATAAAATCTCTACAAAATTACTTTAGATTTAGGTCTGACATGTTTAGTGTCCTCCTTGAACTAGGAGGAAAATTATATCCTATTTCCAGTTTAACAGCAAAGATAGTGCTGTGTTTGGAAGTGATGCTAAGTGATGAATCTTCACTCACCTGATGTCTTCACAAAGAGAAGTCTCTCCATAAGACACTACATACTTTAAACCAAATGTTAATAAGCTTGTTCCACAAGTGACCAGATACAAGGTGGAAGCTAACGTTGTGAGATGACCCGATTCAATGATTTAATAACATCTTTTGGCTTTAAAAGATAAAGATTTGGTTTCCCAACTCACTGTTCTCAAACTGCAATACTACTAAATCTGATCGCGATAGTGAAAGTCATAGGAACAATAATAAACACACCGCGAGGCGCCTCTACACTTGGGATGGCTGCAACAGAAAAACTGGTATAGCGGAAAATAGGCTAGAACTGTGACCGAGGGGCGGGAGGAAAAGGCAGCCGGGCACTCCAGAGGCAGGTCCTGGGCAACCCGGGGCCCGCGGGACAGCAGCGCCGCCCAGCGAGAGCTCGGCTCACCCCGCTGCTCGAGGACTTCCTTGGGGGGCAGCACGGTCGCCACCTCCTTGACCTCC